GCACCAGGAGGATTTATGGTCCCTTTGTGTTATAAGGAAATGTAGGTCCAAGGAGACACCAACGGTGACAGAGGAAGTGGCAGTCCGGCGCATTGCGCTTTGCCAGGGTTCATCGAGGGCATCTGCTAGGTTCGCAGTCCCGCGCTTTGCCAAGGTTCATCGAGGGCATCTGCTAGGTCCAGGAGACTCTTGGCTCACTCACCTATTCCCCAGAACTTTGGGAAGTGGGAAACTGAGGCTGGAAGAAGCATCTTCACTGAGGTAAAGATGTCCAGAAGGTTTGGTACAGGCCCTGGGTCCCTGCTTCTTCCACAAACTGGGTAGTTGGAAAGGTTTCAGTGGTCTTGTCTACCCATCGTCCCGCTGATTCAGCCTCTGGAGTGTACTCCCGAGGAACGACTGTTAGCTGTTCTGTCTTCAGTACCTCAGGAATGTACACACTGACCCGTAGTAGGTGCTCAATAGATACATAGTAGGCCAATGGAGGCCTGGGGAGTCTCATGGGTATGGTGTTCCCTCCTACTTCAAGGCAGCAGTGGCCTCTGAAGCAAACCTACAGGGTTGGCCATGCTCTGCTTCTACTCTGGGTCACCCCTGGGAAAGACAACGACATCATCGAGGCCAACTTTGAATCTAACGCTGGGTCAAACTTTGGAGTCAGCTCACCTTGTTATCACCTTTGCTTTGATGGCCTGGTCCTAGCCAAAGTCACCCCATTGTCCCCAGCCTCAGTTTTCTCAGCTGGAAAATCTGCTCTCACGTCAGTAGCAGGAAACGTCCCTCGTTCCGTAAATACCCGCCGGGCGAGAAGCCACGCCCCGGTCACAGTAGGAAGGGGCCGCACCTTTCCAGGACACAGGGGCTTCCTAGGCTTCGGGGAATTGAGTCTAGAGACGCGGAAGGGGGGAGCGGGTTTCTGGAGCCCCACCAGTAAGCAGGGGGCGTCCAGTGACCCTGAGTGACCTTGGGCAAAACACTTCCTAATCTTCCAGCCCAGCCCCTTATCTTTCAGGGGCGCGGTTTGGTGCCTTGGTGTGCTGGCCGGCGGGCTCCGCAGGCATCAGTGTCCCCCTCCTGCAGCCCAGCTCGAATCCTAATAGCACTTCCGGGTCCGAAAGCGGTCTGGGGGCTCTGGAGGCTCCCGGCTGGCTTACCTGGAGGTGGCAGCGACCGACGGGACGGAAACTTGGATCCTGGCGGCCCAGCTGCTTCCTCCTCGGCTCTCCCCGCCCGTCCTCACCCAGGCCCAGCCGCCCAACTCCGGCCTCGGCCGGTCCCGCCTGCGCAGCCACAGGGCCCCGACCTTCCGGGCTGGGGCGGGCGCACAGCCACCTTTGCCACCAAAGCCGCCACCCGGGTGCTGGCCTCCGGGAGGGACCTGCAGATCTGCGCCCCAGGGAGTGAGAACGCGGGGTGCAGGAGGACTCTGCAGAAAGTGCTCACCAGGGGCTCGGCTGGTAGGAGAGGGTTACGCGCAGACACTCGGAGGGGAAATTTTCAAATTGTGCCTCCACACACTGAAAGTGCCTAGCTCAGAAGCAACCTCCCTCGGGCTTACACTGCTCTGTGAAGTTTGCAACATTCACGCCTCCCAATTCTTCTTTCACTTTCTCTAATGCTGCCAATGTTTGCAGCCGAGGCTCTTACATCCCACAGGTCTTCGTTTTGGGGTTCCACCCCTGTGAGACTTCCCTCACCACCCACTCAGCTTTAGCCATTTAACAAATATTTGCTGAGCACCTACTATGCGCCAGATCCTGTTCCAAGGCCATGGATTGGCACACCAGGCATTCAGGCCCGTAATACTTTAATAGTAATACTTAAAGCTGTGAAGTTGATTGTTTTCCAATTTACAATCTGTGTGTCCCACACTAGAACCTTAAAGGCCCAGAAATGGAGGTCTCCGGTGCCTCATTCGCTGCTCGGTCCCCAGCTTCAGGGACAGCGCCACAGCTCCTGTTGCCCTGGCAACCTGTGGATTTTCATCACCTATAGTCCACAGGCGAGGAAGTAGGCGGCCACTCTGGTCAGGGCTGGAATATGAGTCACCAGGACCTAAGCAATGATCTCTGAGGCCAGTCCCTCTTTCTCCCGGAGAAGGTAGGCTGGGGCTGGAAGTGGAAAAAGGTCAGACGCGCTGCATTCCAGCCCGGAGCTTGTGACTCAGGACCCTACTGGAATGCTATGGCCTCTGTCACCTGACCTTCCTATCGGCCAATCAGGGCCAAGAATAGCTAAAGGGTTATTGTAGGTCGAAAGGATCAGTTCTGGAGGGCTGAAGGGTTCTAGCTGAGATTCTGGGCATCACTAAGGGCAAGCAATAGACACACGGAGGTGGCATTTGCCCCCTTCCCCCCTCCAGCGCCCATCCAAACCGGAATTTAGAAAGATCCTATTGTTGGTTATGAGGAATGCAGGACAGTAGTGGCCAGAGGGTTCCAGGCTGAAGTACCCGGCCTCAGCCTGAGCAACAGCGAGGGTCTCAGCCTTTCAGGTGTGAGAAATATAGGGAAAATAAGAACTACTGTTTCTAGTTCAGCAGAAGCTGACTTAGTAAAGTCTTACTATAAATAAGTAAATAAATGTAATTCTAAAAGTTAAAAAAAGGATCATTTGCTAATGGAGAATGGAATAACAATAGATAAGTGAAATCAATATGGAAAATAATCTTAGGAAATAAGTTGTACTCCATAAAAAGTGGTCCCCCAGTAGGTTTTAAGCCAGTAAGGACATTACTGAGAAAACTGATCAATGGAGCCTCTGCTGTAGTCAATACCACATAGCAATATTGATTTTTTAAAATCTGGACTAATGTATCAGTGTTAAGATTGGAAATCAGGGCAAAGGGCACATGAGTTTTTGCTAAGAACTCTGCTGTCTCTGCAATTTCCTGCCAATCAAAACCTCCCCAACACACATTTGCTAAATAGCAGAGACTGAACCCATAGTGTAGCAGCCACTCTGAACTAAGCCCTGTCTTGCCTTTGTTTAAATAGAGTACCAAGGCCTCATGGTGGGGCTGAAATCACTTGTTTCTGGGCTTTAGAGTGAGCTAAAGGTTTCAAAAATTAAAAAAAACAAAACAAAACCTGAGACAGAAGATTGGAGCTACATCACAGTGACAGAGCACTAGCTGGGCAGGTTCTATCCCCCCGAAATCCATAAAAAAGGATGGGTCACTCCTGCTAGGTGACCTTTCAAACTCTGAGGCATCGAACCACCTCCTCCACAGAGAACTGAGGAGTGGCCTTCTCCATGTGTGAGCTGAGGTCGTTTAACACCACGTTCACGTACTTGTAAAAATGTGCTGTGTATCACCAGGATATGAGTTGCTGACAGTTAAAAAAAATGTACTGGACTGGGGACAAATGCCTAGGAGTCTCTTTTCTTTATTGGAGGTCTCAGAGGAGTGCCATATCACTGAAGTATAGCCCCAGCCCTCATTCTAGGTCCAAGGAGGGGTCAGGTGATCTGCTCTTGTCACTCTTTGCCCTTTTCTTCTAAGACAAGACCTCTCAGTGAGCCTAGTGCTATCCTCCCATTTCGAAGGGGACAACAGTCTTGCCTTTTCTTCTAAGACAAGGTCTCTCAGTGAGCCTGGCGCCACGCTCCCATTTCTAAGGGAACAAACCAAGGCCCAGAAACATCTGTTAACTCCCTCCAATGTGGGCCAGAGTCTGGCAGTGAGCCCAGGGCCTCTCGGATGGTTCCTTCCGACCACATCCCCCATCACACTGTCTCATTCCTCTGTCCCCTCCAGGACAGAGCTGGTCTTGGCTGCCATTCTTGCCCCCAAGCTTTGAAATTCCAGAAGACAGTTGGGACCAAGTCAGCTTCCAAGGGCCAGAAAACAGTAATACTAGACTACTTTTGCCCAGCTATCCCAAAGATGCCTTGGTTGGGGGCCGGGAATAACAACAGGAGCTTGTGTGTCTCTGTCACAAGCCGAGGCTCAGGATGGTAGTCATTTGATCACGAGGATGCACCTCAAGATGGGAACTCCAGGGCTCCCAGCAGCAGGGTTCCTTCAGGGAAGGCTGGAGGGGGAGGTGGCAGGCCAATCCCATTGTTATCATTCTTCCTTCTGAAACCTGCTGATCTCCGAGTTCTGGAATTTCTGGGTCCTGTCAATTGTCTCGTATTCTCGATGGCGTTTCTCTCAAGCCCATAGGTGGCGATCAGTTTCCAGATCATTCTGTGTACAAGGGAGGCTCAAGTTGAGACGAAACTCTGGGCCGCTTCCCCACAGCTCTCTGGCATAGCCTGGCTGTGCAGCCCTAAGCAGGGAAAGCCGCCCTTCTGATCTCAGTGTCTTCCTCTGCATGAGGGAAAACAATGGTTGCCACTTCACAAGGCTGTTAGAGACCCATAACTCGCCTATAAGAGGAACGCCTGTCTCTCTTGCAAGTACTGGCTAAACACGCTCCCACCAAATGATAACAAATGGTATTTCCTTGATCAACTGAAGAGTTGTCTCCGGGAAGTAAAATGGGCTTGGAGGAGTAGGTGAGGAGACTGGCAGCCATCCCAAACTGCACACACCCAAGGCCAATGGGGCAGATGCTTGAAGGCCCTCCCCATCTTGGAAAGGGTGTTCTGCAGGCCCATGCTGGCGGACTGTGAGAGCCTGAATCCATGCACAACCCCAGCTCTCTCTGTCTGCACTGGGAATTAACTGCCTGACTTTATAAGAAAAGTAGGGAGCCACTGTGCTTTTCAAGGCAGCGTGCTGTACATGGACTTTTGTTTTCTTGGCCATTTATTTATTTCACGGTTTTGGGGATGGAGGGAACCCAGGGCCTCACACATTCCGGGCAAACGCTTTACCGCCAAGCTCCACCCTCAGCCCCTGCCACACAGTGAGACAGAAGGAGTCCTTGTGAACTCCTTGCCGACATTCACAAGAATATGACTCCTCCATCGACCTGTGGCTATCCTGGGTTTTTTTTTTTTTTTTAAGATTAATTGAGTCAGACTTACTCAGTCTGGGGCATGGGAAGGAAGCCGAGAGGCAAAGACCTTGCTCAACAGCATGTGACCACTGGCCAGGGCTGAGCACCCAGGGCCCAATGGCAGAGTCCTCTGCTCACTCTTGACGAAGGTTCTGTCACCATGAACTGTGCCCTCTCTGTCTGTAATTCTCCCGTTTCAGGAAGTGGGGTGCATGGGAAAGGACCGTGCGAGGGGCCTGGTGAGTCCCTCCAGACTTTCATGTCTGGCGCTGCTAATCACGGATTTTCCAAGATGTACTTCCAGCTCCCATGCTGGACTCCTTGTTTTTCCGTCTCCTCCCTGGCTGAGCCTTAGCCTGGAACCCACCAGAGCTGACTTCTGAGGACAGATGCTTCCCTGTGTTGAAGAGATGACCCAGGGACCTATCTAGTGACTGTCACACTGAGACTGGGTGGGGGGCGGGGCAGGGGTGTCACTGCTGAGGACCGTTGCCTTTACGAGATGCCTTATCTTTATGGCAAAGGAACAAACAAGACCGTAGATGTGATAAGAAGGGTGGCACCACCTGGAAACCTTCCGTTCTGTCCTGTGGGCCTGGGAGTCTGAGGGCGAGCTGGATTCTCATTCATTCTCTCTCTCCTCCGCCCTTATAACCCTGAGATTCTCTCATGCCTGGTGATCTCAGTGAGGAGTCTGGGGACAATTCCTGAACTCACCCTCTCCACACCTCCCCAGCTCTATCTGCTCAACCTGAGATAGCCCCTTCCCCAGCTTTATAAGTATGCCTCTGTGTGGCTTCTTCCCTCCCTGCACCCCCGGGGTGGATCCTGTGGGAAACCCTGATGAGACCTTTGCCATGAAGGGTTTAGGATAACCGTGGTAAATGACTCTGGAGAACGTCTGGCAATGCTCCCATGAGCACGGGCATCCCAGGATGGAAAAAGGTCCAACAGCTAGAAATGGCCACAGACTTCCCAGCACACAAAACATAAAAACCCAGACCAGAAAATGACGCCAGGTACAAGGATTACAAAAGAGCGCTGGTTCTATTTGCTTTGTAGTAAGGTCAACGTCCCAATATGTGCACGTAGTGATATATACAAAACCCAGGAGCTCAGGAAGAGGGGTAGGGACCCCACCACCCTTGAAAGTCATTCATTAAGGGAATGTGTCTCTTCCCTTTTCCCCTAAAAGTTTGGCTATGCTACACAAGGCAGACGGGTGCAAGCCCATTGTCCCAGCCCCGAGTCCTTGATCCAACACAGCTAGTACAAGTCCAGTTCGCATGTGATTTCAAAGGGAGGCTCCTAGTCCTTTTCCTTCGTGGGTTATGAGATATGGGGAAGGGGAGCCGTGGCAGTGCTGGGCCTGTAGTGATCCAGGTCTCTCAGGCAATAGAAGTGATCTGGGCTTGCTTTTGCTCTCTGCAGAGCAGAGTCCTGGAGCAAGGCCAGTTGCTGCTCCGGCTGTAGGGGTAACAGCAGAGTAGGGTGGCCATCAGTAGCGCCAGGGCGATGATAACGGCCAGCACCCACCGGATGACACCCGGATAGATGAAAGGCAGGATTAGGACAATGAGAAGAGCCAACAAGAACAGGTGTACGGCTAGGCGCCGGGCAGCTACACGATTGACACTTACTACATCCTGATCATCTTCTCCCACCCAGTTGGCTGGCCGTGCGGCCGGAGTGGCAGAACCAACTAGTCTCTGGGGACACAGGTGTACCTCCGGGCATGAACGGGCCAGCCGCCCCACCATCGCCTCCTGGTCTCGCAGGCTGCAGATTAGGCCTCCTGGGACGGCAGTGACCTTTCGGCACAGTGGACAGGGGATGGACCAGGTGTCTTCTTCCACAAATAACAGAAGCTTCAGGCACACAGCGCAGAAGGCGTGCTGACAGCTGAGCAGCTTGGGGGACCGGGCACAGTTGTAGGGTTCTCGGCACACTAAGCATTCCAGGTCATCCTCCGTAGAGATACTGAGATGCCCAGTGGGTCCCAAGGCGATGACGGTGGTTGTGGTGGTGGCACCCGCTGGGATAGGCGAAGGGGCCTTGGTGCAAGACATTCTGGGTACCAAGTTGCTGCAATGAGGCTGTTCCGCATAGGGGCATCCACGAGGAGTGACCACCGGTGCTGCCGGGACTTGCATGGGTTCTGGCTCTGTGGAGACGCTTCCAGCCTCCTCTCTGCTCTGTCCGGGTACCTGCTGACAGCAGCTGTCTGGCATCTTTCTCTTCTGGTTGCCCAGCTTGTTTCTCAGCTTACGTTGTCCCCTTCAGTTATTATTATTTCTTTACTCGAAACCCAGGGTTAATCAGTAACTTGGAGACCTGGAGACTTTGAGTTACCTGATAGAAGGGCCAAAGGGGGTGGAGTCTCATGAATCAGGACTTTCCTGTTGGGGCCCTGCCTGATGCGTGTCTGTCTACATGACAACCAGCTAAGACACCGCGATGCCAGAGGGTTCCTCTCAAGCTCTGGGGTGCATCGGTGACCCCTCTCAAGTTTCCTGATCTGGGTAGATGAGGGGACTCCCCACACCTTTTAAAAAATGACGTTTATTCTCCGTCTGTGTCATGGTATACAGGAGGAAGCAGAAGGACTTGTGAGAGTCTGTTCTTGCCTTCCAGCAGGAGTGTACGAGGGGTAAAACTCAGGTCACCAGGGTTGATGGCAAGTGCTTCTACTTGCTGAGCCACCTCGCCAGCCTTTAAAAGTCCAGAATGTGCCGGGCGATGGTGGCACACGCCTTTAATCCCAGCACTCGGGAGGCAGAGGCAGGCGGATCTCGAGTTCGAGACCAGCCTGGTCTACAAGAGCTAGTTCCAGGACAGGCTCCAAAACCACAGAGAAACCCTGTCTCGAAAAACCAAAAAAAAAAAAAAAAAAAAAAAAAAAAAAAGTCCATAATGTTGGGCTTCAGGGCTCAGAGAGGATGGGGTCCAACGAGCCGTGGAGTTCACAAACATCCATGTGATCCTGATGAGGGTGACCGGGGAGCATCATTTGGAGAAAGGCCTCCAGAAATGGGCTTCTGACCAGACCTTCCGGGTTTCAGAATCAATGGGAACCATGTTTGTGCTTTGAGCACACGGGCGAATGGGTGAGCCAGTGAAAACAGAGAGAGGTGATGGGGAAAGATGAGCAAAGGAGGACAGGAAAAGGAGTCTGTCTAAGCGTCCACTGGTCCATTCAGCGCCTTGTCATCCCGTCAGCTGGCTTAGCAGACACTGGTCCCCAGGCATCTCATCAGCGTACCGCACAAACAGGCACCTTAAGAAAAGGCACCATTGGCTGTGTCCTCCGGGGCCACGAGCACAAGCTACCATTTATTTGGGCCTTCTCAGAGCAAACTCTCAGGGAAGAAGAGGCCTGGTTTCTCATCTGTGGTCTCCTAGAAGCCCAGCTCCATAAGGAAGGTCTAGGCACGGGAGCTGGGTGTTGGCCTGCTGGCTGCCTGCCAAGGGGCCTCTCACAGGGGCAGGACCCAGTTGTGTCCAAGGTCTGGTTCCCAGTCTCACGGGACCCAGCCATGTCAATAGGTGCAGATTCGACTGACCTCTGGGCAGCTGGCCTGAACTGGCAGGACTCACGTGGGATGGCAGATAGGATGCAACATGGCAGTTACGAAATTCTGTCCCCCTTACCATGCCTGGGATGCTAGAGCTCGAATGGAGGTCCTTGCTCCCCCCCCCCCCCAAAAAAAAAACCCTCCACAACAAACATAGAAACTGTTGCCAATGGCTTCTGGTGTCTAGCTCTTTCAATTAAGCCCTTCCCTCCACCACACGAGCTCTGCAGGCTCAACCTGTGTGTGGAGCCACCTGCAGGCAGAGGCTGCTGATTCTTGGGTTGTCTCCCCCTCATGGCTCTCTCACTCTGAATCCAAACCCCAGTTTCCGTGGTTTTCTGCCTTAGGATGGGTAAGCGGTGATTTCTTTCTACCACAGTGTCTATAAAGTTCGCTCAAAGGGGCCTTGGCTCTAGCTGGGTATCTGTGCCCATATGTTCCCCACTTTCTGACTGAAAGAAGCCTGTCTTCACTATGGGTGATTGCTGCTCCCCCCCACAGCCTTTCTGTGTGGCCCCGTGGGAGAAAGGAGCCCACACCCTGGGCTTCAGAGTGGAAACCGGCTGATACCTTGAGATTTAAGGAGGACCAGTTAGCATATTCCGCCGGCTGCTTGGCACTGATTGGTTCTGGCCTAAGAAAGCCAACAAGATTGGGTTCTGGGACTCCTGTTGGAACTGTTAATGGTGTCTTTCTCCTGGGTTTCCCAGCTTAAGTGGATGCCCCGGGGGAGGGACAGGGCCACAGTGTGCAAATAACTTGCCCAGGAATAAGGCCAAGGCACAAAACATTCTTTTAGCGCCTGGACCCAGCCAAGCCTGAAGCCAGAGAAAGCCCTCTGAAGATTTTTCAATTACATTAATTTATGAAGCATACTTTTCTTTTTCTTAGTTCTGGGGCTTGAACCCAAGGTCTTGGTCACTCAACTTTCCAGTTAATAATGAGTCAATTAAACCGGATTTCTGTTTCCTGCAAGTGAGAGCTATCTGGATGGTACCCCAGTAGCCGAGGAAAAGCAACTTTGGCTTTCTGAGTGGGTGAGAACCCACAGACAGCTTGCACACAGTCCCAGGTGACAATGTGTCACTCTGCTGAGATACTGGCTTTCCCTGCTCTAGGCTTGCGTAGTGTTCCTTTCTGTTCGCTGGGTGCAGAAAGGGTTGGGGAGGGGAGAGGAGAATCCTGTCAGTCACTTTCATTTATTTTATAATAGATACTTAATAACATTAAAAATTAAAAAATAATATCAGACACACAGCAGAGGGACGTGGGATGGCCATGTCTTCTCTCTCTCCTACCCATCTACGGGAAAGTCAGGTTATCAGAGGGTCATTAAGGGAGGGGTTAGGGATGTAGCTCAGTTGATGGAGTGTTCGCCTAGTGTGCACGAAGTTCACACTAGGTTCCATCCCCAGAGCAATGTAAACAAGGCCCGGTGGTGCACACCTGTAATCTCAGCACTTGAGAGGCAGAGGCTGGAGAATCAGGGGCTCAGGGCCATCCTCGGCTACATAGTGAGTTCATGACCAGCTGGGGTACATAAGACACTGTGTCAGAATAGGAGGGGAGACAGCTTAGTGGGGAAAAGGATTTGCCATGCAAGCCTGATGACCTGAGTCTGATCCTCAGAACCCACGTAAAACGCCAGTTCACTGGTGTGCGAGCACCTGTCAGCCCAGCACCCTCTCATGAGATGGGCATAGAAACAGGAGAATTGTTCAGAAGCCCGAGGGCCAGCTAGACGCGAGTTCAAAGCTTCAGCAGCAGAAGCAACAGGGTCTTGAGGATACCTGAGCCGATCAGCATGGGCTTCTGGAAGAGAAGTGATTCTGGCAGGGTTTGGGCACAGTCTGAAGTCATCCATCCCAGAGGAAGCACAGATGGTTCCGGAAGACTGAGCATGCCCCGTGTGTTTGGCTTCCACACTCTACCTTGTGGTTGGTGTGTGTGCCGTGATGTTGAGATCCTTCCAGCTCCCCAAGTCAGACTTCTGTTTGTTTGTTTTATTGCTGTAGAGATATAGACACTGATTTTTAGCAAAGCTTGTGGGCTTTTGCTTGTTTGTTTTTCGACTTGGAGCTGCAGACAATTCCTTTTGAGGCTTCCGACAGGCTTGGGTGGTGGTAGAATGTTCTGCCTCGAAGACAGTGGAAACCAAGAGACAGCAGTTAAAGGGGGCTGCCCTGAAAGTCACACTGCTGGTGTCACCTAATCAAGGTACCTGAGCTTTAGCTCCCCTGGGAAAGGATTTGAGATAGCAATGACAAAGTTAGGTCTTCCAGCCCATGCCTGTTCCTCTTGAGATCAACTCACCTTGGGGATGCAGAGAGCTGGGTCCTAGCCACTAGCTACACACACACACACACACACACACACACACACACACACACACACACACACTTCTCTTATATTCTGGGATTGGCTACCTGCAGTGTGCTTATTTAGATCTTAGCAACAGTAAAAATACTAAACACTAAACAAACAGGCTTAATTCTGTTAATCCTGACTTTACCACTAATGTATTTACTTGTGGCATTCACCCCACCCCCATTTGGGCAGTGCTGGGAATCGAACTCAGGGACTAGCTCCATCATTGAGCTACCTTCTCCGTCTCAGAAACCTTATATTTTTTTAGATTTATTTCTTTTACTTTCTGCGTATGAGTGCTTTGCCAGCATGCATGTCTATGCATGCAGAGGCCAGAAGAAGACATGGGACCCCCTGGAACTGGAGTTACAGACGCTTGTGAGCTGCCTTGTGGGTGCTGGAATCAAGCCTGGGTCTTCCTCAAGGTCAGCTAGTGCTCTTAACTACTAAGCCACCTTTCCATTCCCCCAGAAAGCCATTTTTATACAACATTCTCCTCCCTCTCTCCTCCTCACCGCCCTTGTTTTCTCTTTCCTTTCCTTCCCTCTCCCTTCTCCTTTCCCTTTCTCCCTCTTTCTTCCCCTTGCTCCCTCTTCCCACTCCCTCTCCTCCCATTTTCTTTTAATGGTCAGTCTAGCCAAGGCTGGCCTCACACCGGGTCTTCCTGCCCTCCTGTGCTGGAGTCACAGGCAGCTCCAGGAGGCCCTGTTTACAAAGCCCACACAGTGTCTGACTCTGGGTCTGAGATGTGGTTTGGGGAATGCTTGTGGATCAAGCTTGGTCATGCTGAGTGTACTTTCTGAAGATTCTGATGGAGTTGTATTTCAGGGGCCACCCTGGCTGCTCCTGTATCCTGAGACTAGGCCAAGACTCTGGATGTGACGGTCCTCAGTGTCCCCCTCGCAGAACATGGGAAGCTGGCCTAGAGGAGATGAGTTTGACAAAACCCTTGGCTTCCCCAATGGTATGTTCTGTGTCTACACTACTCAGATTTTCTGGCTGTACGGTCACCTGCCTCCCAGTTTTGCTTTGGCCACCAGGCAGCTCAGCCATGATAACAGTAAGACACCACTTCGGGTATACAGTGCCCCACTCCCTCTGCTTGTGCTTTCTGCTCCAGTCTCTGGTCTACCCAGTCTTGGTGCCTGGTATTTGATTTCTGTGTTTACATTTTGTTTGCAGCTATTTCTTATGAGCAATTCCTATGCTTTCTGATTAAGGAAAGTAGAGACGAAGGGAAAAAATGAAATCGAGGGAGAAAAGGCGCATATAGGCCAGAAGGCAGAGGAGGCAGGGAAAGGGGGCACCGCCTGGCATCTTAGGCAGAGGTGGCAG